ACAGATGGGTGGAATCCACAGTAGGCGTATCTAAAGTGATGTCTACTGCAAATCAAAGAAGGAACCCCCAACAAAGCGGTCCGACTCTCGAACAGAGATTCCTTTGATCGTTGCCCGATGGCTCACTCAAGATTGAGGGGGGGGAATGCTCCATTGTTTGAATCACCTCTATGCTTCCCTCTGAGATCTGTTCAACTCAAAAAGGATGCGGCGAAGGGACCCACCAAACGCGTAAACATTCAACATTATATTGCATAATATTGCGACTTCGTTTAGTGGCGGCACTTCCATGTTGTTGTTCCATTCTCCAGCCAAATGCTAGCGACCTCAACAAAGGGGGTGGGCGAGCTCACCCACAGTGCTAGGGATGCCTGACTCAACTTGCCCAGATGTCCTTGCTCCCAAAATTGTGCCATGTGTTTTGCGTACCCTTCTTACGTTTGCTTTTTCCCCTCTTCCCTAACAGCTGAAAGCCTTGGGGTCTCAGCCCAGATAGGTGCCGGGGTGGTCCGGGGCGGCCCTGAGTCAAGGTTTTACGAGGGTTCCACGAGGGTTCCACGTCCAGGGTGGTAGGCCACCAGATTTCCACCGTATTCTGCAAGGGCTGCGGGATGGTCCGGGGCGGCCCTGAGGTACCACAGAGTTCCACCAGGGTTCCACAAATGTTCTGCCCTGAGGGAAGCAATGTGTCGTGCGCCCGGCGTCTGAAAAGCCATCCGAGCAGTAAACTGAGGGCTCAGAAGATCGCTTTGCTGATGTGCGGAACACTAAGCAAAACCGAAACATTTTTTTAGCACGTGTTCAATGTCACTTGCTCACTTGCTCAGACAACGCTGCCCGAAATGTTGGCTTTGTGGGACTCACAGTGCGGCAGAGTAATTGCGTGGTATTACTGAGTATTACTTGGTGGGCTTTGCGTTCCAAGGTTCCACGAGGCTGCGAGGGCTATGGGCTAAGGTTCCAAAAGCGCTCCACGAGGTTGCGGCCAGGCTCTGCAAAAGCTAGGGAGCAAGTTTTGCTAGATACGGTTATAAGGCCGCATCGTAAGGAAAACCGGCGTTGAGCTATAATATGGGTGGCTGGGGTTGGCCGGAGCCCGCTTGCGCCACGGGACCATTGGGCCCCGGTCGGGGCCCGATTGCACCGTCCGGCCTGCTAGTGCATTGTTTATCGGGCCCCAACTGTGCTGTCAGGCCCCGATCAGGGTGGATTGCGCTGCCACTCCTAGCTTTGCTCTGTAAAGTTACAAGGCGGCATCCTCAGCAAAACTGGCGGTGAGGTGGGTTCCGTGGCGGGATCCGCAAGGATTCTGGGAGGGTGTGGTGTTGTTGGGGGTCACCTGAGCTTATTTCATTTTTTTGTTTTGGGGGGGGGGGGGTGTGGTGGTGTTCCATTCAGAAATGAGACTGTGGTCCACTTAGACTTATTTCATTTTTTTGTTTTGGGGGGGGGGGGTGGTGGTGTTCCATTCAGAAATGAGACTGTGGTCCACTTAGACTTGCCCAAAAGCGACTTGACCACTTGCCCTTTTGACCGTTCACTGTCCCGATGTCTATGTTTTGGTCCGAGCAGGCGATCACCTGTTGTTTCTGCATGTTTTGGGACGCACGTACAGCCTTCAGTTTCAGGCCCTTGGCAAGTATATGATAGGTCTGTGTGTTTCGCAAGGTCAAGGCCGCAAAAGGTCATCGCTGATTATTTCAAGGCCGTTGTTGGACAGGAGATCTTGGCGAGCCCCGATCCCTTTGGCACAGTTCGTGTCTTCTCAGGAGCCTTCATCCACCGCACCTCCCCACGAAGGCGGCGGAGGAGGGCTACTGGCACTTCGGCTCAACAGCAAGCCAAAGCGGAGCGGGTAGACAACTGAACAAGGGGCTCTCCAAATGGTAGACCCGTGTGGGATGATTCGAAAGAGAAACCAAAAGGAAAAGCACCATCTCAAAACACCCAACAACTCTTTCCAGACACTCTACCCAGCTCGGCTTCACGGTACGCAGTCAAACTAAACTTGTGTGCTGATTGTCCAATGATGGACCCCTTTTCGGACCCCTCTGGGCGGCACATGTTGCCAGAACCCAGGAAGGACCCACATTTCTCACTGGCAAACCGCCGCTTGTAGTCTAAGATGTCGACATACTATGGCTGCTGACCCCTGTTTGTTGGCCCTCATGGTGGTGTACCGAAAGCAGCTTGTATTGAAGACAAAGTGGCCGCCATTTGTTGGGGTTTCCCTCAAATAAGCCTGCGACCTTACGAGTCTATTGGATTGCCAAGTTCAAGAAAGCAACTCATGTCAATGTGAGTAACTCACAAGATTGATAGTTTGCCGTTGGCCTTGCGGAGGACGGGGTGGGGGGGGTGGCGCACCAACATTCCAGCAAGCCAGCGTTTTGGTGAAGCTATGGCCGACTCTTCTCTGATGAAGCAACTTGCATCCCAAAGTCACACCGATTCCTCAAGAGAATCTTGGGCAACCTCCAAGTAAGCCTCATATAAGACCTGAGTAGCGGCCATGCTTGCGTATTTTTTGGAGGGAATCCACTGGGCTTCCCTGACGAGCTGACTCGTTCGCAACCAAGCTGGCTGCTTGCCGAAGATAGAAGTCAAAAAGACCTGAGCAACTCTGGGATTTGATCCTACCATGTTTCCGTCTACGAGGGCAACGCCAGCGTGAGGGATCTCACTCCCACCACCCTTCCTCTTTGAGGTCTACATGTTGTGGGTGCCTGGGTTCTAGTGGTTGTTCATGATCAGTCTTCGTGCTTAAAAGTATGTCAAAATAGGAGGACCCCTGTGGTGGTTATCTTTGTGCTTTCCCTTTAAAGCCACCCCAGAATTGTACTCACAAAAAAGTACATACATAAATTGGCCCTGGCCTCCCGAGGTTCCTGGCCGACCGCATCCGCGCGTCCGGCTCACCCCACTGCAATCCAGCCACTCGGTAGGGAGAGCTGCCATGTGTGTGGTGGCATGTATTCAAATGAGGCCAGGGCATAGCTAAGTGTTCAACAGGGGAGCTCGCTTCCTGAGCCAAGGAAAGCTAAACTTTTACCGGCCAATTGACGTTTCCACGTATGTTATATTGTCATGGTCAAGAGTCCAACATGCTAACATAGTGATTGGTGCAAGAGGCAGGGTAAGGAGGTCGCATAAGATAACTCAGAAGAGGATTGACATCTATATAACCAAAATTTTCTCGGGCTTATGCGGCACGACTGGTCACACACGTGCAGTAGTTGTCATGTAGGGAGCCGACTGATGGCTCAGGACTTGCTTGGCGGAAGCGAATTGGACCGCAGGAGCACAGCGGAGGCTGCCAGACAAGAGACTCGTGAAGAGGAGCCGGCAGGAGGAGGGCGGATGGCAGCGCCTGGGAAGAAAACTGCCAAGGTGGCCCACTCGAACCTGCGTGAAGCGGCGGAGAAACAAGAGAGGAGCCGCTGGGCGGCCGAGCTTCGCAAGTTGCGAATTGCTGAGGGACATGGAGCAGAACAAGATGTGCCGCTGAAGCGAGCTTCGAAAGGGTGAAGGGCCGCGACGTTGCGGAAGCACGTGAAGATATGGTGGAAGGTTAGCAAGTGGTTGACGCAGTTCGCCGAGTACATTGAAGTCAGATGAGCCATGTGCGAGGAGTGCGCCAGTGTCCGCCTTCAAGGCCTTCATGTTCACGGAGCACGCGGCGAGGCGCGCGAGGACGTCCACATGCACAGGACGGCGGTGATCCAGAATGCCCTGGAGCCGGAGGAGGCCAAGTTGACATTGGAAGCACGGAGACTAGGCACACTAGCAGGCCAATTTGATTCCTGTTGTAGCGGTGATCGCTTGAAAAATGTTTGGTCTGTGATCTGGCGGAGGACGACTGTGTGTGAGGTGCTACGCATGGTTCCGGTTCGTCAAGTTGTGGACGGCATGCACCTCAACGAGTGCCGGAGCGGATGCTGGCCATGAAGCCCTATGGCTTGAGGGGCGAGATCCACAGGTCGAAGAAGAGTGGGGCTGGCAAGAAGATCGACGTCTTTCGCGTCTACGTGAGCAGGAACGCATGGAGTTCCAAGGTTAGAACACTCCGGCACACCTGGGATTAGAGGCCGGCTTGAAGGACAGGGGGGTTCATGTTGCCATACCTGGACCGATGCAGAAGTTCGTGAGAAGGACGGTGCGCTATGCAGCGGCCACCGTCCCCTTGCAGCGCCAGTGTGTTCCTATGCCAGTTTCTTGTGGCAAGCGGCTACATCTGGCTGAATCACTGCCAGATGATGGGTAGATGGCTACATGGGCGGTTTCCATGCAGCCGGAAATCTCGGACCTGGTGCGAAGAGCGCAATGACGACAAATATACTTTTAATGCTGTTGGGTTTTTGTGGTTTTCCGCATCAAAACGAATTCAATCGGATTCTGAAAGCAACCATGGCCATGTTTTCCAACAGCTGCCATCATGGGCGCGAGCAATTGTAAATTGCACGTGCGGCAAAGTGACTTGTCACACAGCTGACCCATGATAGTATCACAGATTTCGTCTTAGTCCCCCCGAACAAATCAAAAGTGTTGGTTCTCTTGTTTGGTCATGCCCACATGGCCCTAAACCAAAGCCTCAGGCACTTTGTCGCCTAGCAACCACTATTTGTGTTTCTGGGTATCTTCTTCTGATTGAGGCTCAAGTTGGCTAAACAGGCTGTAGAGCGTTGGCCACTCCTAAGTGGACATCAAGAGGGTCGGTAGGGACGTGGCCTGCAAGGTAATTTCCCCTCAAGTTTCATGCTGCATTTCAGTGAGTGGAACTGTCCCTTCCATCAAAAAGGCGTCCTTTCCCAATTTCACGTTGCGACCCCACCTAAGAGGTTCCTTTGATGGCGGTGTCCAACAATTTCAGGCTGGTGAGTTATGTTCATTCACCAAGACATGGGATGTTTTTACATGGCCAGATCCCACAACATGGCTGGTTTGCGTTTGGTTGCCCTTCAAGGGGTACGCTCAAAAACTGCATTTATAGTGTGCGTATA